CTTAGCCAGGGACTAGTCTCAAAGGACCATAAAGTCCTGGTATCAGCCTCCTAGTCATGTATGGAAAGCCAAGGAGTGGGACTAGCAGAGTGTGGGAAGGGGGTAGCTAGTTTCTAGGTCTATTAATCATAGAAGAAATGGAGGTCATTTAGGTCATTTGCTAACTGAAAAAATTATTTTTATGCTCTGAGGTAAACTATCCTGATAATGTTTCTTGTCAGATAGCATGTCTTTTCTCAAATTATCTTTTATATTATTAATAATGCCATGTACCCTGCATTCATTCCCCCTGGGCTCCATATAGTATTGGTCATTAAGGATCTAAAAGGCACGTGAGGATACAACTACTGGATTGAGGCCAAAGGACACAGAGGGTAATTTGCATAGCGATGTGCACCCAAGGAGAATCTTTTTAAAAATGGGTAGTGAGGATTAAAAACAATCTCTGCACTCACACATCATTATTAATTATGTACGGCAACACAAGGTGACAGGATGAAACATCTGATGTCTGTCCCCGACCCATCCTAGCAGGGAGGCTCTACAGAGACCTTCCTGAGATTTGCCTTGGGGGGAAGGCCCACCCTGGGAAACTGGGGTAACAGGCAGAATCCTTTCCCAGGGATTCGTCGATTTACCTTTGTATTCAAAAGAAGAAGAAGAAGGAGAAGGAGGAGGAAGGGGAGGAGAACGAGGAGGAGGAGGGGGAGAGGGAGGGGGAGGGGAGGGGGAGGGGGAGGAGGAGGGGAGGGGAGGGGGAGGGGGAGGAGCAGGAGGAGGAGGAGGAGGAGGAGAAGAAGAGTAAGCCCAAAATATTGGTTCGGAACTAGGGGATTAGTTTCAGTTATTTACTTTCCTAAATTACTCTGATGGAGACTGATCGGTGTTAGAAAGCATTTAACCCTATTTTGGGGCCACTACAACTCAATGACTGCTTAGTCCCATTAAATTGTGGTTTATCTATGTTTAGTTTGTAACAGGATTTTTGTTAATATCAACATACCTTATTGTTAATATCAAATAGTCCTTTTGATTTATGCCACCATTTGGAAACTAAAGCCATGAGATGAGTGTTTTCCTGGTGACAAGAGAATTTTTTTTAAATACTCCTCCCCTTTTTGACATTACATTAACTAACATGAATCCTAAGCAGATCAAGTCTAACAGTGTCTTAGGTAATAGAGAAAGACTAGTTGAAATTTCAGAAATAGATATTTATCTGGCTGCTGGTTAACCAACATTTTACAAAACCTAGTGGACATGAAAAGTGCTGACTGGGCATTCGAGCACACATTCCGAAATATGTTTACTTAAAATCAGATATTTTTAAGCTGTGTATGTGTAAGTGAATAATTAGGGCATAATTTTAACAAATAATTTACATTGAATCCCCTCATTTCAATAGCAATTCTGGAAATGTCATTTTTAATATGAATCCCATGCACCAATGTAACAACACTTTAAAATTTCAGTAGTGACTTCATATAACTTACATAAAGCAAGATGTTACATACTTATACAGAAATTATCTCATAAAATGACAATAGTTCAAGCAGAAGCTAACTATAAATGCGCTATAAATAATTGTATGACATTCTGAAATGAATTTAAAACTGCCCCTTTTGACTAAGTACAGTAATATCAAAATTGATGTTAAAGTTCATGATTGTCAGCCAAATTAATTCTATTAAATCAAGAAGAGTGGATTAATGAGGAAATTATTTAATGCAATTATTTAGCCCTTTTAATTAGCTTGTTCTGTCTAGGGCATTAACTAAGCCTTTTAAAAAGCTGCTAGACATTTATTGTAAAGCTTTATTGAAATTTTATATGAGTGTATTATTGGGTGTGTACTTTATTACCCAGCAACTAGAACAAAAAGATAATTTTTAAGATATGAACAAAATGGTAAATATCTGGTACAAATTAGCTGGATAAAAATAAACAAATGAAAACAATGAACTGTAAAACAACTAAAGACTCTAAAGGCTGTAATTCCCAGCAAACACCCTCTTCCTGACACAACTTGGCCCCAGGTCATGTTTTTGTTGTTTCCTGAGAGCACAGGAATGATTCAACTATCTCAAGGGCAGGCGAAACCTTAACTCCTCGATGACGGCCTCTCCCTTCAAATGGCGTGTGTACTTTTGTTTACCCAGATCTTGGAAGGCTGGAATGAGGAAGAACTGTGGGCTGGGGTTTCAGGTTGGCCGGCAATTGTTTAGTGTTCATGTTTGAGAATAGTTGAACTTTCTTAAGGATCTTTCATTTCATAACACTAAATACCCTGAAGCCCACCAGCATCAGGGCAAACCCTGCTTCCATTTAGGAAACTCAGCCTCCACTGTGGCTGTCCCAAGAGCAGAGCATCCCAATCTCCCATGTCAGAAGTTAACCTCCACATACCTCAAGGATAAGAAAATGGGTTTCCAGAACCCAATGTTTTCACATTTAGAATAAACTGTCTACTAAAGTAGCAGGATACAAAATAAATATTTGGAAATAAGTTGCATTTTTATATACCACTAATGAGCTATCAGAAAGAGAAATAAAGAAAATAATTGCATTTTTTTTAAATGTACCCAGGAATAAATTTAAGGATGTAAAAGACCTGTTCTAGGAAAATTATAATCATTGAAGAAAGAAACTAAAGAAGATACAAATAAATGACAGCAAATACCATACTCATGGATAGAAACAATTAATATAGCTAAACTCTCCATACTACCCAAAACAACTTATAGATTCAATAAAATCCCTATCAAAATACCAATGGCTTTTTTCACAGACCTAGAACAAATAACTCAAAAATTTATATGGAACCACAAAAAAACCCCAAATAGCCATAGCAATCTTGAAAAAGAACAAAGTTGGAAGAATCCTGCTACATAATATCAAACTATAATACAAGGCCATAGTAATCAAAACAGCATGGCACTGGCATAAAAACAGACATACGGATCAATGAAATAGCATAGAGAGCCCAGAAATAACCCATGTGTATATGGTCAATATATGACAAAGAAGGCAAGAACATACAGTGGGGTAAAGACAGTCTATTCAATAAAATATGTTGAAAAAATTGAGCAAATACATGCCAAAAAATGAAACTAGACCACTTTCTTATACCTTATACAAGAATAAACTCAAAATGTATTAAACACTTAAATGTAAGACTAGAAACCATAAAGATTCTAGAAGAAAACATAAGCAATAAAATCTCAGATACTTCTCATAGCAATATGTTTTTCTGATATGTCTTCTCAGACAAGGGAAACAAAGGAAAAAATAAACAAGTGGGACTACATCAAACTAAAAATGTTTTGCACAGCAAAGGAATTCATCAACAGAACGAAAAGACAACCTGCTGAACGATGGAAGATAATTGCCAATGATACATGCAATAAGGGATTACTATCCAAAAGTGATAAAGAACTCATACAAGCCAACACACACACACACACACACACACACACACACACACACACACAAAACAATCCAGTAAAAAAATGGACAGAGGACCTGAATAGACACTTCTCCAAAGAGGACATTCAGGTGACCAATAGACATATGAAGAGATGCTTAATGTCACTAATTATCAGAGAAATGCAAGTTAAAACCACAATGAGATATCACCACACACCTGTCAGAATGGATATCACTAATAAATCTACAAACAAGTGCTTGCAAAGATATTGAGAAAAGGAAACTTGAGTGCACTCTTGATGGGAATACATGATTGGTGCAGCCACTATAGAAAACAGTATGAGGTTACCTTAAAAAATGAAAAATAGAACTACCTTATGACCCAGAAATTTTACTTCTGGGTATATCCCAAGAAACCCCAAACACTAACCCAAAGAGATATATGCATCCCTATATTCATTGCAGAGTTGTTTACAATAGCTATAACAGGGAAGCAATCCAAATGCCCATAAATATACAAGTAGATAAAGAAACTGTAGTACATGTGTACAATGAATATTACTTGGCCATAAAAAATAAAATATTACCATTTGCAACATGGATAGACCTAGAAGGTATTATGCTAAGTGAAATAGACAGAGAAAGACAAATACCATATGATTTCACTTACATGTGGAATCCAAAGAACAAAATAAATGAACAAACAAAACAGAAACACTCATAGGTGCAAAGAACAGACTGATGGCTGCCACTTTGAAGGGGGATTGGGAGGCTGGGTGAAAAGGTGAAGGGATGAAGTAGTACCATTGGTAGTTATTGTATAAACTAGTCATGGGAATATAAAGTACAGCACGGGAGCTATAGTCAATATCGTTAGGACAAAGATCCCAAGGTCTGGACAGTTCCAAATGTTATTTTTTGCTAAATGTTAAAATATAGCACAGTGTTTTGCAAAGGCAGCAGTAACAGGATGGCGAACAGGAGCTCAGCCAATGGAGATGCATGTGGTTGGTTGACCACAAAACCGACGGTAAGCCTCCCTCTGAGGAGGCAGAGCTATGGCTATGAATCCACATCTCCTTTATTTGCTGCAAGTAAAGAAAACTACTTTGCAACAACCAGGTCTCATTTTTGAATAGGCAACCCAAGTGGAGAACCCATTGAGTCCAGCAACAGTAATATTGGACTAACTAGGCAAGGTGCTAGGTGGGTCCTTGCAATATCCAGGGGTTCACTGCATAAATTGAATAGTTGCCTAACTATGTTTTATTCCTGAAACTAATATAAAATAATATTTAATGTCAACTGTAACTTAAAAATAAAATTTAAAAAAGATCATAGGAGACAAAACAATTTTGTCAGGAGCAACGACACAAACCAGGAAGAAGGAATTATTGATTTGCATTCTTGATTTCCCTTGGTATTAATGGAGGTTAAAATGCAACGTTTTCACAGTACTGTTTGAAGAAAGGGCTGATATTAAAGGCAGAAAGTAAATTTCAGGAAGTAGAGGAACCAGCTGGGAGGGCAAACACTGTTCCAGGAACCCAGGACTGTTTGATCTGTCAAGAAGCAAACAGCGAAGACACAGCCCCTCCCTTCCCAGGAAACGAAACCAAAAGCAGTTCATACTGGGCAGCAGAAGATCGAGAGGCTAATAGTTTCCTGCAGCCAGCTTTGCCGCCGCCACTCTCCTGTCCCTTCCAGAGCATCAGGATGGAGCTTAGCAATACCCCAGCCAGGAATCTGGACAAGTTCATCGAAGACCACCTCCTGCCAGACACGAATTTCCGCAAGCAGGTCAAACAAGCCATCGATGTCATCTGCAGTTTCCTGAAGGAGAGGTGTTTCCAAGGTGCCAATCACCCTGTCCGGGTATCCAAAGTAGTGAAGGGTGGCTCCTCGGGCAAAGGCACGACCCTCAGAGGCCGATCTGATGCTGACCTCGTGGTCTTCCTCAGCAGCCTTGGAAGTTTTCAGGAGCAGTTTGATCGCCGAGCAGAGTTCATCCAGGAAATCAGGAGACAGCTGGAACGCTGTCAAATTGAGAAAGGAGTGCAGTTTGAGATCAAGGGTACGCCATGGAGCAACCCCCGCGTGCTCGGCTTCGTGCTCAAGTCCCCCTGGCTTGGCGAGGGGGTGGAGTTTGATGTATTGCCTGCCTTTGATGCCCTGGGTCAGGTGCCAAAAAGCTACAACCTTGACTCCCTAGTCCATGAACACTACAGACCTGAGCCCCAAATCTACGTCAAGCTCATCCGAGAGTGCAAAAATCTGGGGAAAGAGGGCGAGTTCTCCACCTGCTTCACGGAGCTGCAGCGAGCCTTCCTGAAGCAGCGTCCGACCAAGCTCAAGAGCCTCATCCGCCTGGTCAAGCACTGGTACCAAAAGTGTAAGGAGAAGCTGGGGAAGCCCCTGCCCCCGCAGTATGCCCTGGAGCTGCTGACAGTCTATGCTTGGGAGCATGCAAACGTGGGAACTTCATTCAGCACAGCTCAAGGATTTCAGACTGTCCTGGAATTAGTCATGAACTACCAGCAGCTTTGCATCTACTGGACAAAGTATTACGATTTTGCAGATCCTGTTATTGGTGGATACCTGATGATGCAGATCAAGAAACCCAGGCCTGTGATTCTGGACCCGGCTGACCCTACAGGAAACGTTGCTGGTGGAGACCCCAGTAGCTGGCCACGTCTGGCACAAGAGGCTGAAGCCTGGCTGAGCTACCCGTGCTTTAAGAATTGGGATGGCTCTCCAGTAGGCTCCTGGGATGTACAGCTTTGAGAAGAGAGTGAAGATGGCCAGACATATGCCCTACTCTGGACGCCGGCGCATCTTAGGAGGACAGGGCTCCGGAGCCATCCTGGCCGGCTTCCTCATTTTAATGGGCCAAGCCTTGATTCAGAGAGGACGGAGGACTGCCCCAGGCTAGCAGTGAATGGGACGACCGACAACCAAAATCCAGGTCTCCTGATCCCCACCCTTCCCGCTGTTCTGTGCTTCTCTTCTTTCAAAGATAGCCCTTTCCCTCAGCATCCCGCCCCCTACCTATTCCTAGACAATATTCTCTAAGACAACAAGAGAAATATAGACAAAAGAGGGGAATCCCAGACTTGACTTTCTTCTATGTAGCTGGTGGGAGTGTTTTGATCCAATTTATTATCACTTGCAATAAAAATAATAGCAAAAGAAAAAGAGTAAATTGTCAAAAGATTACCTTGAGAAAAACAATTCATGTTTCAGAACGAGGAGAGAGGATAGAATTTTCCTCCCTCTTCAGAAACCAAGAATTAGCCCTGGCCGTGTGGCTCAGTTGGTTAGAGTGTCATTCACACATCAAAGGCCTTTGGGGGTTCAATTCCCAGTCAAGGTCAAGGCACATACCTAGGTTGCGGGTTTGTACCCAGTCAGGGCACGTAGGGGAGGTAATGGATCAATGTTTTTCTCTCACATCAATGTTCCTTTCTCTCTCTCATTCTCTCTCTCTCCCACCTTTCTCTCTCTCTAAAAAAATTAATGAAACATTCTTGGTGAGGAAAAGGAAGAAAGGAAGGAAAGAAGGAAGAAAGGAAGGGGAGGGGAGGGAAAAATAAATCATGAATTAGAGGGAATCTGCAAGAAGAAGAGGCCAAGAATCAGAGAACCTAGATTCCTCTGGCCTCTACACTGTTACGCTCAGTATACCCCTGTGCAGTTCACGAGGGCTCTCCAAGGCTCTACTTCCTCATGAATAAAATGGGGATAACAGCAGTTATCTAGCCTGTCTTCTAGGCTTATGTTGAAGCTCATGAAAAAGCATTTTGTCAAAGGAGAAGGTGGGAGGGGGCAAGGGAAAGAGGTGGGGGGGAGGCAGAGACAAATGTATTTAAAAAGTAAATAAATTTAAAAAAATAAAATAAAATAAAATAAAATAAAATAAAAAGAGAAGTAATATTCATATTAATATGTTTATAATTTTTATAGAAATCATAACTGTTCTGTAAAACTATCAAGCCAAATTTTTATTGATCATATTGGTTTTTAAGAAAAATTTTTGACACAAAATAATTACTTATACAATCTATATATAATCTACATATATAATTCTATTATACAACCTAAACAAAAGGGAAAACTTCATGAGCAATGTTAAGATTGTACACTACATGCTTGCTACTGTTTAATTTAAAGCAACCATTTCTAAATTGAAAATTTTATCTGGAATCCTTTTAGATTTCTCTTTGTTTTACACCCTTCCCTTAATCCAGTTTTACCAACTTAAGGACACTCTTCTAACAATCATCTAAATTCTTTTTTGATGACAGAGATTTGAAACTTTATTTCAAATCCACTCTTTCCTTCAGTTTTCTCTCCCTCTTCCCTTGCAGCTCTCTCCTGGACTTCAAAGCAGCTTTGTGGTTTGCCTTGCAGAAAATCAATGGTTGGGAGATGAAAAGCAGCTCTTGTTTATCCGCCTGCCCACCCCCCCCCCCCCCCCCGGGCCCCGCACACGCCCCGCTGAAGGTCATTCTTCTCAATAGCATCTGTGTGAGATCCACAGCCATTTTATTTTATTTTATTTTATTTTTTTTTGCAGAGGGGAGAAGTAAATTGATTACATACTCAAAAGCCACAACAAGGAGAGAGTGATGCCCATTTTAAAAGGACAGGATCACATCACAATGCAAATACATTAATAAGACTAAGTAGAGTATTGGAGTACTGGTGTTTGGTGTATGCATTTAAAATGTTACTGATTGTGACCCTGATTTATTTTATTTATTTATTTATTTATTTATTTATTTATTTATTTATTTATTTATTTATTTATTTATTTTGGAAAGCCTATGTCTAGACTTCTGATGGTGTACAAGGCTTTGTAGGTAGTTGATCACATTCTCGAACAGGTACTTGAGAAGTTATTTGAATTTGGTAAGCTTTAAGGATTATGACTAACAGAGGGCATTGATAAATGAATGTGAGTGGGTCTCTATTTCCACACAGGTAAGTAGAAGCACTGTTTTCCTCCTGCATGCATGGCCACAGTTGCGGGCCCCGCTTACCCACTTTATGCATCAATCTCTTTGTAAAAAGGGTGATGACACAGCCCAGCCCTGCCCTGTCACATGCATTGCTTAGCTCTCAATGTTCTCTGTGGTCCAAGGCCATTTCTTGAACCAGTATTCTTGAACAAAATTAAAAAGGAATTCTAAAAGGGAGCAGTTACAGAACTGTGGGGCACAGGCTGCAAATGTTCTGTGTGCTCACCAAAAGCCAGGCCTGGTACTTACTTCCCTGTGAGCCAGGGCTCTCCCTAAGGAAACCACTGCTCAAGGTGGGAAGCTTTTGTGTCTTGGACTTAAACACTTTGCCACTTACTGAATATGTGACTTTGGACAAGTTGTTCTGCCTACGTCAGCCTCAATTTCCTTATCTGCTGAACGGGATTGAATCAATGCCTGCTTTGCAGGTTAGGTAGAGGAGCAAAGATAAATATGGTTATAAAACATACAGTACTTATCACAGAGAACGTATAACAATAAAGGTAGCTATTTTTATACTTTTTATTGTTAACCTACCAGAGGACAGCTTTTCACCTTATTATTAGTTTGCCCTTGAAAGCACTGTAAATCTCTCAGTGTCTCCTTGCTTAAGGCCTTTTTCCATCCATTAAGTAGGAATTAACTAGCCAAGACAGAAAAAGTGCTAAGGCTTGCAGCGGGCATGGTGAAGGACCAGAGAGGAAGAAGGAAACAGGGCCCTTCCTTTTAGAAGCTCACCCCAAAACGAGGGCCGCAGGTAGGGCTGGGAGCATTAAAGAGCCACAAGCTGGGCACAGTGGGATTCGGTACAATTCTTGCTTATCTTTTGGGAAATGGCACCTTTTCGCCGGGGCTATTTGCCAGGCATCCTGACAGCTCTCACGCATTTGCCTCCTGAAAGGAAGACACAGCAGTGGCCAGCTGCTGCTACCCCACTGAACCTTTACAGAAAACCTACTCTATGGCTTTGATGAGCTCTGCATTTCTGCCTTAATAAGCTGCTCCACCAGCTCTGACTTCGTAGTTTTTCGAAGACCCTATTTAGAATCCGTTATAAAGCACAGCAAGCTGAGATTCCCTCTTAGCCTCTGCTTGTCATCAACATGTTCGATTGCCTTTGTCCTTCATAGACATCCATTTTGTAAAGGCACAGCAAACTCATTCTGGTGCAGTCTGTGAAGATGTCTTCCCAGGCACCTCAGTGAGGGAATTTGATCCGGAGGCACCGATTTCCATGCCGCTGAGCACAAAAGTGCCATGATCAGCCTTTCCTTTGTTGCTTGATTATTGATTTAAGTAATAAGTTATTATTTTAACTATCTGAGAATTCATGGGCTCAGGTAAGAGGGAAGAAATTTTAATTCGCTACAAAGTTGCTCCCTTTCTGTTTCTTTTCTAAAAATAGCCTATGTAGTTTACTTGAAAGATGAAAAGTGGACCTGTTACATGGCCCAGTGATTCCACTTTGGGGGATTTATCCAAAGGAACCTAAACACTAATTCAAAAGAATATATATATACCCCTGTGTTTATTGCAGTGTTATTTACAATTGCCAAGCTATGGAGGCAATGCAAGTACCCATCAATAGACAAGTAGGATAAAAAAAAAGCTGTGGAATACTAGTTGGGCATAAAAAAGAAAATATCTTACCATTTGTGGCAGCATGGATGAACCTAGAGGGTATAATGCTCAGTGAAAAAGTAAGTTAGAGAAAGATAAATACCATATGATTTTACTTATATGTGGACTCTGAAGAACAAAATAAACAAACAAAGAAAATTAAAACAAACAATAGATAACAGAGAGAGAGCTGGTGGTTGCCACAGAGGAGGGGAGTTTGGGGCACTGGGTGAAAGAGAAGGGATTAAGAAGCACAAATTGGTAGTTACAAAATAGTCATGGGGATTGAGTGAAGCATAGGAAATAAAGTCAATAATATTGCAACAGCTATGTATGGTGCCAGATGGAGCACTGGAAATATCAAGGGGTTCATTATGTAAAGTAGATGATTGTCTAACCACTAAGCCATATACCCGAAACCAATACATAATAAAAATAAATAAATAAAATAGAACAAAAAATAAGTGAAAATAAAAAATAAAAGTAGCCTAACAACAACAACAACAACAACAAAACAACACAATATGTAATTCCTTAGAATAAGTTTTACATCAGGACTTTTAATTTTAAAAATTACCTTAAACATGTCTCTTATTACAAGCACTCATACCAAATAAAACTGAAGTTAAAACTTTGTAGGTTATGTTTATCTTTATTTTTATTGCTGTCTTCTCTAAGGAAAAAGTACTGGCTGACCCTATAGGAACTTTGTTCTCCCAAGAATATTTTTCTGATGCTCAAATGTCTTTCCAATGGTGGAAAAGGAGCAGCTGCACGTCTTGCACAGTAGATCCGCCCTAGTATAGTGTGCAGGACTGCATGAGGTACTGCAAAGGCTGTGTGCGGTACAGCCAGGAGATGCGCACTGTCTTTCTCCTTCCTGGTTGTATGATATAAGATGCTCATTTTAACCATGCTGAACCTCAGTTTCCATATCTGTAAAGTGGGTCTGATAATTATGTGTACTTCACAGGGTTATAGTGAAGATGAATGGGTAGTGTAACTTATCAAAGTGCCTGGCACACAGGAAAGACCCAGTCTGTGGAGAAGCTAATATTACTAATAATATAAGATGTCTCATGCCCACGCTGGTGAGTGCCTTTTCTAAATTCTCCTACCATTGAAATGCAAGCAATGATGAAACTGGGCAAGCAAGGTGGGTTTTTGGCTGGTACAGGTAGCTTCCTTTGTTCATGGTGTCTACAGGCCAAGGACAGGGTAGGAAATACAAAGATGGAAAAGCAGCCAGCAATGCCCTGGAGGAATTCAAACATGGCCAGACAGAGGTGAGTCAAAGTGCAGCAGGAATAGAGAACGCCTGCTAGGTTTGCTGGGGTGGCAGGGAGGCCCTTTTGCTGAAAACTAAAGAGAGTAGGAGTTTTACTCTGATGGGTAG